CTGCCCATCCTGTCTTTCTTAGCTTTACTAAGTAGGCAGTGCACAGTAAGGACCATTTTCTTGTGGCAAAAAATAGTAAAGGAAATCTACAGACTTAGAGAAAGCCAGGGTACAATCTCTCACAGATAGTTGCAGTGCAAGAACAACCTTGCAAGGCCTGGCACAAACTAGCAACGGTATTCTGATCAGCAGAATCCCTATTGCCATTGCCCTGCATGTGGAGAGAGGAAAGGTCCTGCTGCTCACGGCTTTGAATGCCTATCGAGTGTATGATGACCATGTGGGGTTTAGAGACCGGTAAGGTCAGTGATATAGGAAGGCATTATCTCAAAGCTTTGGAGAGATTTGCAAGTTTTCCTAAAGTATATGTAAAGTTGTAATACCTACTTTCCATTAATTCCCTTAACTCTCAGACTTCCTAGATATTTATAGTAAACTCAGCCTTTATACTTCCCAGCAGGAAGCATTAAATCCCTGAAGACGCTCAGGAGAAGGTCTCCTAATCTCTCTTTTTGAGCAGGTGTTAGATGATTGATGGATCACAAGGATGGGAATTTCTAAGAAGATGACTCTCATGCTCTGCCTTGGTGGATGCTTCCTGGGTAATTGGCGGTTGTGACCCACATCTGTTGTGAACTGGCCCGAAGCCAGCAGCTTTAGTTCTCAAAATTGGAAATCAAATGTGGGGTGTTAGGGGTACAGGAACCACAGGATGAGGACATTCTGGGTGTTTGATGCCTCCTAAGAAAGATGCATCTGTTGGAATAGGCAGCTGGTGAGAAGACTGAGTCAGCAGCAGACATGAGCAGTTTCCCAGCACCCAGGTCCCATCTGTCCCACACTTTCCACCTGTGTCTTAGAACATGAGCTCTTCCAGGTTTATTAGCCAATCTGTATAGTCAGGTCTGGCTACTAGGATCAGTGTGATGGTATAAACAATGTTGAACAAGGAAATTTTGGGGGATCAGAATTGGCCACCCCAATACGTGTCTTTTTGGCTTGCATTGATTATTTTTAAGAACAAAAGACTCTAAAAGAAGCTTTGAACTTTCCCCTAAGTGCCTAAAAGAATTTAAGATAAAAGACCTGTCCCCAGGACAGGCCATCACCATAGATAACTCCGGGTATTAGTAGACTGTGAGGGTCCTTGCTAAGCCCATTCTTATCTACCAAACATTTGCTTTTCCATTTCCATGTGAATTGCCTTCCTTCCCTTTGAAGTGCCAAACCACTACCCCAAACATCCTCCTTTGTCTTTAGCTGAAGATGATATATAAGGTGACAGTTTTGGCCATTCTGGCAAGTTACCCAGCTCTCCTGGGTTTGCCCTATGTATACACGTTTTAAAGTTGTGTTTGATTTTCTCCTGTTATTCTGTCTCATGTCAATTTAATTCTTAGGCCAGCCAGAAGGTAGAGGATTTATCTTCCTCCCCTACAGTTTAGCAACTTGGAAAGGATAAAACTTCACTCGTTGGATGCTGCTTGCTCCTTGACTACTGTAGCTGAGAGATCCTGGACTCCTGACAAGAGCCAGCAGGAGGTAAGAGTTCTTACCACATCAGTTTCTCAGATCTCTGCCTGCAGGGTCCAAAGGAAGTGAGAGTCATGAGTGTTTTTTTCTTTTCTAAATTTAGATTAACAGGATTAAATGTTGGTGAAGCTAACTTCTTGGACTCAGTGACTCTAGGAAATTTGGTTGAGTACTCATGGCTTATTGATCCTTTTCCTCCCAGAGGAATCTGTCATAAAGAGGAAAAAACATAGGGCTAGACACAGACATCTCTATGAGTCTGTTGTCTGGGCAGGTATGTAGTTTTTTTCTTTTTCTTGTTGTATATTGTGAGAGCTTGGCTTTGTGATGTTTCTGGTCTCTGCACCCCGGTGGTCAGTCGAGTAGACTGGGGTTCTGGGACACACTTTCTTTGTCCAGCTGTGTCACCTCTCAGGGGAGTTTGTCATAAGGAGTACCAATTGCTTTTATAAGGGGCTTTTGTCATCTCAACCTTTGTTTCTTGTAGGTGCACTCTGATTGTGCAATGATGGCCTTTGCTTTCTTAGACTATTTTAGGGAGGGAACTTTCTGCATCTTGTGAGGGCTGCTGATTCTACACTCTCTTTTGGGGACACCTCTTTCTTCCATGGTTAAGTTTATTGGTATGAGTTACTATTAAGATCCTACTCATCAATATGGCCAGACAATGGATTATTTAAATTGGAAAAACTTCTAAATTGGGAAAAAAATTGTTTTGAGAGCTCTCATCACCATTGTTTTGTTGGTACCTATAAAAAGGCCAAATTAAAAAAAGGAAATACAAAGAAAAAAAAAAAGACTAACCTTAAGACCATGACTCAGGCTACAATTAAATTGAGAAAATGTAAAAGTATAAATATTGATAGGATTATAAAGATTGGAATGTTTGAGCTAATTTTAGCTCAAGAGGATGTCAATTTTGCCTGAGTATGTTTTAAAATGTCTGACTGGGAATGCTTCCTTTATCCAATATTGTAAGACCAAGACCTATTGATAAAGTCCTAATGAAAGCTATGATTAGAAGTATAAGAGTTGATGGAATTCAGATGAAATTTTGTAGAAAAACTGATATATTTGTGGGCTTTATGTGAAGTGATTGTATCTCTTTTTGCCTGATTGTATTGTGGGGATAGACATTGTGTCTCACTGGGGAATGTTTCCCCTGCCTGATTGTGAGACAGAATATAAATCTGCCCTTTAAACAACGTTAATTAAACTTACAAAAGGGGAGTCAATAGCATTGCCTGAGCCCACACATTATGAGATAAACACTAGAGGCTAATATCAGGTGCTAATAAAAAGGATAATAAAAGCCTCCCCTGTACCTCTCAAAGTGCTCCTAGATATTAATTGAGACATTAAAAACTAAGGCAAATATGATGCAGAAACTCCATGTTGAAGAAAACTTGACTGTTTTCTCTGTGTCTTTATGATGTAGATTTTTTGCTCCCATCTTCTCTAGGACCTGAGTGCTACTCTTTGAAATAGTGAGTTTTGTGTTACACCTGATTCATAACAAAATTTAATGAAAGCTATAAGGTCTCTGTGTCTACCTGTGTGCTCATGTATGTCTATATGTATACGGTTTAAATGTGAGATATTTTACCTCCAGATAGCATGGCCAAAAATTAAGAGGTCTGTTTAATTAGTTTATTTTTTTTATTTTATTATTTTTTTGTGAGGAAGATCAGCCCTGAGCTAACATCCATGCTAATCCTCCTCTTTTTGCTGAGGAAGACCAGCTCTGAGCTAACATCTATTG